GGTTTTTCAAAATATCTGGACCTTGACGCTGCCTAACGAGACCATTATTGGCAAAAATGCTTCCGCTTACATAACCAGTATATACAATAAAAACCAGCCAAATCGACCTATAGAAGTAAGAAACCTATCTGTTAACTAATGTGTTATATAGGAATAGTACTACAAACAGTTTGTGTGAGAAATTCAAAAACTTTCCATCATTTTACATAAGGCTTTGGGACAAATGTAACGCACACTCGCTGCAGGTGTGAGCAGTTTTCTCTTTCTTTTACATGAAATTCGTTATTACGTTATCATATATGTAGTTGTCTCTTTTCAATTAAATATTATTATGCGACAAATAACGCATTAAATAATGCAAAAAATGCCACATGAATATCGCTAAACTGCAAATTTGTTGAAGAATGCGTTAGGTCGGTTCCGCTGGGATGCTAGGAATGCTTCTGATTTTGTTATTGTACCGCCCCCGTTTTCACAAATTGTGCGCATTTTCACTAGCGAAAATAATCGAAAACACATGTTAACCTTAATGCGCCTTAAAAAAAAAAATGAAATGGCTTTCTACGTTGCCAACTTGTCTACACCCAGAGCAACAAGTTGACCAGTGTGCCTCAAAAATCAAAAAAATTTGGGGTTTCTCCAACCTGACAAGGGTTTGTCAACTTGCCTACACACGGCTTATTCACCATCAACGACTAGCGGTTGGAAAACTTGTTGGCCGATAAATTGTTCCGTGTGTAGGGCCTTTTAGAGCGCCACAGAAGAAAAAGAACGAAACACCCGTACAAAAGTACTTAGAGGGCTTGATTTCACTAAATACTGGGTACAAAAGTACTCGTCCCAAAGACGCGAATTAGTCCTGATAATTCCGAAATAGTTCAGAAAATACCGTATAGCCCCGATAATCTCGAAATTCCGAAACAGTCCCAAAAATTCCGAAGTAGTCCAATGACCTGAAATAGTACCTACCATCTCTTTATTTTTATACTAAGTAGCTAGTATTTAGTATTTAATCAAGTTATTAGTAGTTCATATTAAACACTGAGTACTTTCGTACCCAGTATTTAGCGAAGTCAAGGTCTCTAAGTACTTTTGTGCGTGGTGTTTCGTTCCATTTCTTCTTTTGCGCTCTAACCGCCTAGCCGATTTTGGCCGAGCTCAACAAACCACGCATCGGTGCCTCGATATTTTTATCGATATAAAATAATCGATATTGTTATTGATATATGTACATATTTATGATTATGTTTTTCGACACTGTTCTCGATATAATTAATTTTTCTATATATATTTTTATGGATAGAATAATCGAGTTTGTTATCGATGTCTTCATCGATTATTTTAGCAATATTTTTATAGCCGTTTTTACAAATTGACCCCCCTAATGTACATAATATGTACTAGAGATGGACGCGGGATTTCGGCACCCGCGGGACCTACGGTACCGATTTAAAAATGGACTGGATGGGGGTTATCGGGAAGGTATTCAACGATTTTGCCGGCTGCACAAAAATACTTTCCCGACACTCCCGATGAAACCCGTAATCTCCGCAAATACAGAAAATCTTCCTTAAAAAGTGGTATGAAATAAGAACTTTTTTATGTTTTATTGAGGCGAAAAGTAAAGTAAAACAAAATAATCGAAAGATGCCAGATCTTTGATTATTTTTTACTATTTGAAATAAATTAGAAAAATACATGTCAATTTCGAGTCCCACGGGACTCGGTGTACAATTCTGAAAAACGTCAGGATGTGTGGGTTCGGGACTTAAAAAGTGAATTTCGAATTCGAATATTTAGTCCCGTGCCCATCTCTACTATCTACGTCAAATCCGAGTTCAGAGCTAGAGATAATGACTACGTTGGGGATCTGTCTACATGATATAAAAGCGTTGGGGTAGTCCAAGCGCTTTTCTACCCATTTTGCTCTCAAAATGCGACAAGCCTTATGTTCTAAATCATGCCTATTACGGTATCCGAGGGATGCTATCCGCACGGATCTAATCCGATTCGCACTGTCATAACAAGCGAATGAGAAGGATTAGATTCATGAGAATGGCATCCCTCGGAAACAGACCTATTCCGGTCCGACAGATACCATTCGCACGAATCTTATCCTTCGCAATCGCTTATTCCGACAGTGCGAATCTGATTAGATCCTTGCGGATGGCATCCGCCGGATACCGTAATAGGCATGAATATGAAATGCATCTAGCCATAAATACTGATTTTCCAAATATTTCGACCCCTGCGTCACCTATCGGGCGCATTTTTGGTGGAGTTTTTCCTATTCATGTAAATATGTATTATTCATTCCGAATATTAATCATATCGGGCTTTTCAAATATTTCTACCCTAGCGAATTAATTAATTTTTCATATTCGGATTCTGAGCTAAGTGTAAAGTTTCAAGTCTCTAACTTATCGGTAAACTAGTTAAAAATGTATTCCAAGATTTGATTACACACAGAGGTGAAACGTAATAAAAGTTTGTAAAAAATATTCGCAGTTAAGGGCTATTTGCAGCTCTCAAGAAAATCGAAAAATTCATGTAAAATGACTTACAAGAAATAGAAAAGAAAGAGTGCATTCCACAACGTCAAAATACAAAGCATCAGTATCTTTTATATCTAAACCTCAGCAGAATGTAGGGCCAAATGTGCGCAATCACGGTTAGATGGTAATTTTCAACTAGATTGCGTAAAGCTCTGAACACATTGAAAACGACGAACTACGGGTCACAGCTTCCAATTTGTTATCTTCATTATCTAAACGCCTTGTCGATGGCGACATGATTTTTTTGAACGCGGCGGCGGCATCATGAATTTGTACGAGTTTGACATAAAAGAAGAGGAAGAACCTTATCTGTCGCTGGAAAAATATAAATAGATCTAATGTGGTCACAACCACAGTCGTCGCGTAGCCCGGCTGTTGCCAAAATAAGTTATCTACATAAGAGTACGTGTTAAAATAATTTGACAGCTGTAGTCCGTAGCTCGTCGTTTTCATTGTGTTCGGGCTATAAGTTAGAAATAAAAGAGACTGATGCATTGTATTTTGACGTTTTGGAATGCACTCAAATTTTCTTTTATCAAAATTTCTTAAATCAGTTTGCAACTCTCAAGAAAAAAATGCTACAATATTTATTTCCATCGTACAGTTGAGCATAAATGGGTATGGGTGAGAGCATTTAAAAATTCCGACTTTACTTTTTCTAGATCCTTCTACTTGAGTGGCATCGCGGCGAACAACACAAAAAGTTGGAGCTGGGCCAAGAATTTAGCAAGTTCTATTATTCAGCAATAGTTGGTTTTGTCCCATGTATTACGATGCCCAATGTTTTCTTTTTAATGAAACAAACTTCGTATATTATATTTATAATTTTATTAGTTTTTTTTCGCTTTTCACAATTTTCAATGTTTTTTTTTTTTAATACAAGCAGGTTATATTGGTTTGGGGTTTTAAATGTTAATTTGTAATTTACTTAGATTTTTTTGTTTAATTTTTATTTGCTTAAAAAAGAACACATACAAAAAGTATTTTGTGTTTCATTTGCAAAGGTATTAAATGAAAATACGAAAACTTAAGGTAATACATTAATACATACGTACATATAATATAAATCAAAAATAAATGTTATAAAAATGCGATTATTCAAGTTGATGGCCGACAAGCAATGAGTTTTCATTTTACTCCTCCATATTTGTTTACCGAACAATTTCGAAACAGTATTTCAAATATAATTATAAATTAGGTATTAATACTTTGTATGTATTTGTAAAATTTTATTAAGCGAATTAAAATTGTGTGTCTTTATTTAGTTGCTTCAAAGTGAATCTACATAAATCCAGACAGTTGGATAGCTGAGTGTTTAGTAGCTAAGGTTATTTGATTACAACTTTTCTCTTAAAGCGTGAATTAGCGAATTATAAATGCAAATGAATGCTGTAAAAGCTTTAAATACTAACTCATAAAAAAGTTTGAAAGAAATACGATTCTCATTTCGCCCACCCTTACATGCAATTACAATGCTTTCACCACACATATTTATTTTGAGAATCAACGTGTTTGTACAAAGACTATATATAATATGCGGTTTTAGACATTCCTTTGAAAATTACAAATACAAACAGTACATGGCGTTACATAGACATACATACAAATATGTTTTGCAGCGAAACCAGCAAATTCATTATGCAATTTTTGTTGTTGAATATCGTTTAAACCCCAAGTACATATGTATATTTATTTCAGTTTTCTTTCTTCGACCTCAATTTATGTGTAGTTACAAAAAATTCCTTATATTTTACCGACATCGTGCGGCTTTAACATCGTTTTATGCGATTCCCTTTTGAGAAATTTCGAATTTTGTAGCTTATTTTTATTATGGTTCCTTTTCTTTTAGTTGTTGTTGCTTTTATTGCGATTATATGTATTTAATTAAGTAGAGAGAGTATTTGTTGAATATCTGAAAAAGAGCATTTGCGCTACTCGTGTTGTGTGTGTGTTTGAGTTTGTGTTTGCTAACGAGCCATTTCGTTCTATTTTTGTATTTTCTTTATTTTCAATAAGAAATATACTTACATATAAAATGTGAATCAATTAAAATTCATTTATCAATCAATCAATAAATCAGTTAATTAATTATAATAATAGTAATAAAAATATAATTGTAATTTTAATTTATAATGATAATAATGAGAATAATAATGGGAATATATATTTTAATGCGTTTAATGCGTATGCTGCTTTCGCTCCATTTTTCTTCGAATAGTTATAGTGTGTTGCTGTGTATATTTTGCTGCAGTTCATCCATATTTATATTATCCATAATATTTACGATTATTTAGGAGTTTTATTATTGATTTGTTTCTGTCTTCTTTATTTCCATTTTTCGAGTGTTAAGTTATGGATCTTTGCAGATGTTCTTTTTCTATATGCAAGAGTGATGTTGAAACGTTGAATTGAAATAATTTGCATGGTTCTTAAATTTTTGTTAAATTTTTTTGTGTTTTATTTATCCTCCTTTCTTTTATTTGCATATTTTAAAGTTCATTCATGTAAGTTGTGCAACGGCTGGCTTCGTTTCAAAATTGCTTTAGCGTTTTCCTTTGCCCTGCTGCTTTTGCAATATTGCATATGTATGTGTTGAGACTTAATCTACGCAATTTTTTAATGGTCATGCCTGTTTACATTTCTTCACCGCTCACATATTTTTCATCTTTGCAAAGCTCCTCAACCATTTTTTACACTTCTAGTGTTGTTGATGCTGCTATTTTATTTTGTTTTTAATCTGGTTGTTTGCTATGTTTGTTATGTATGTGTGTGTGTGTGCTGTTTTTTTTTTTTTTTATAAATATTATTGTGGTTGTTTTGTTTGTTGTTATTCGCTCTAACCGGATGAGGCAATAGCTGTGTTGGTATCATCACAAATCGTCTGCTGGGCTGCCGCCTTGTTTTGGCGCACCAATTCTGCGCGACGTTCCTGTAGAGAGTAAAAGTGCAAGAGAAAATGGGTGAGGTTAGTTGAAATTTAAGCTGATGCCACATAAAACGTTTGCTTCGCTTTACGTGACAGATTCGCTTTGACAGCTAAGATGAATTGTATGAAAATGCACAAAGCATGCCACATAGATCATTGAAGCTGCAGCGCGAAGCGAAAAGATGGCCAACTCCCATCTTTTTGCGCGCTTTGACAATCAGCCGGTTTAATATTTATTTTGTTTCGTCCAAATTCGAGTATTCATGCTGAAACATAAAACTCAATTACATTGCTGATAATTTTAAAGCAAAATATCTTAAATCCACAGCAATTTTGACGAGTAAAAAAGCAGTGCAAAATTGATTTCTTGGCGTTCATTGTGGCATACCTTTTGCGTCTGGCGCTTTGCTGGCAAATTTATAAATGTCACGCAAAGCTACAAAGTTTTATCTGGCATCAGCTTTAACACTGCAATGTTTTCGTACACTTAAAGACACTGCTGAGCTTAACATGGACTAGTTGAGCAAACATATTTTATGTCGACAACAAAAGCCTAAGGGCCGGTTGTTCAATGTCTAGTTATCACTACTTCGCGGTTAAACTTCATTATCAACGTTTTCGTCATCATGCATATAACATGTGATCGATAAAGCAGTCGTTGTATTTAACCGGAGCTTCTACCTCCGATTTGTGCTAATCAGACATTGAACAACCGGCCCTAAATGTATGTAAGTAAGGAAACCGTAATTAATTGTATTAGCAAAAATTTGATGGTATTACAACAAAACCACAAAAGCCTCAAAGCTTTATCTGTACTTTAGAAATTTGAATGAAATAAATTTTGGAGTCCCGAGTTATCTCCGCTTTGGTCAAATCATATTTTTATGATAATATATTTTTAAAATGTTAATCGGAAAAATGCTTAAAATTATAGAAAACTCGTAATTCAGAAAAACGTTTAATTTTGATGGATAGTCAAAAAATTACGGCAAATGTAATAAGAAATAAAATTGCTCATTGTACGTTTCGTTTTCATGTATGTATGTACATATGTATGTGTGCTCCCATATTTGGATACATCGTCGCTACCATGTCAAACTATTGAATGTGCAAAAATGCTTTTTCAATTACGATACCTTGCGCATGCGCTTAGAATGATACGTAAGTTGGCAAATCGTCAAATTTCTAGTCTTCTTAGAAGCAGAGGATACTGGCTTTAACAAAGTATCGAATCCCATACTTTTTCCAATGGCACAATTTTTTACAAGTTTTTTTGCTCTTCTGAAAAGTACCAACTTTCACATTCGATAGTTTGACATGGTAGCGACGATATGTATATATGTATGTTCATACACTTTTACTCAACTAATTTTAGGCCAGCGACATTTTTACCAGTTTTGGCCATTTTTCTTAATGTTTATTAACCTAAAAAAAAAAGTCGTCTAGCCCATTTATAACAAACACCATATAAATCCACATATCAAATTTTGAATAAAAATTATAAACATTCAACAAAATTTGAATTAGTAATCGGATTTTTTAGAATAATTATTGGTATGCAGTTTACGTAAGCCTTTTGAACAGAATAACGTTAGGAGCCTGGTGGGGTCCCACATGGGATGCTACGTTTTACAGTCTATTAAAAATATATTGCGGCTTTTTAAATAAATCTATAAACTTATAGTTTAAATGAAACAAGAGTAGCTTTACTTCACTTCCAAATAGGTTATGACACGACTTTTGTAATAACCCCGCAAACATATTCTTAGCGTTCAGAATATATGAGTCCGAAAGGAGTCCTAGGTGGGTAAGAAATTTGAGCTTCAAAAACAAAAGATGTGTGACTCGTTAAGCTTAAACAGACGGCAGCGTTGATTCGGCTTAACTCGGACTTAATCCGGATCAACTGCAGTTAATCCCCGAGTTGATCCGGATCAACGCTGCCGTCTGTTTATGCTTTTATATGAATATTTTATATGAGTATGTTAGGAGAGAGTTATGAGTCAGCACTTTGTGGCAATATAAAAACAATAAAGAAACAGCTGTTAACGTTAATAGCGCTAAGCAAAATGATAGAAGTAATTTTCTCGGAAAATTTATGGGATGGCTTAGTGCCTAAAGCCTACCCAAATTGCTAATAAGTTCATTAACGGCATACCATCGCAGGTCTTTCCAATAAATAAACATTAAATAAAAAACAGAAAATAGCTGAAACCGGTCAAAATTCGTTGACTTAATTAGTTGAGCAAAAGTGTTTGTATGTAATACTATGTATGTATTTAGAAATGTATGTATGTTTTAATGAATGTATTGTTTGTTTTCTAACGTTATAACTCTAATACTGAACACTATAAGAATATCAATTAGAAATATAGATCAGATCAAAATTAATTACCGCTAATTTAAAACATATAAGGGGTATTCACAAATCTAATCACTTCGAAAAAATTAATTATAATTTAGTTTTAGCTTTCTTATAGAATATTGATTTTGCAGATGCTTTCCATTTCCAGACAACCGGTCAGGTACGAGCATGATTTTTAATTTCGACCAAACTCAAATACATTGTTTGTTGGTCCGAATAATGAGACACGAATTTTTTTTTTTGGCTCGGAAAAATTTTTCGGCCGAATTATACGCGATTTTGTTTTTCAGGCAAAAATCGATTATTCGAATTGACAGTGAGAATTTTATTTAAATGCCCATAACTTTGTCAAAATTTAATAGATTCCAACAATGTTTTTACTCAAATGTCAGTAATTCTTCTCACTTCAAGATAGAATGATATAATTATTGATTTTCATTATTTACAA